CATCATCATGATAACTGTTTAACAAGGACTTTGGAAGGACAGCAACTAGCAAGATGCAAGAAAGGACAACTGGAGGATGGACATCATTTAGCTGAGGTAGAAAGACACACAAGGAGAAACATAAAAGAGGGCTATCAGAAGAAAAATACTAAGGACAGGTTAACTCAGAACATCCAGAAGGCTTTCATGGACTACTAAGTAATACATGTACCTAGGATAATACTATCAGTACCAAACGTATGACCTTGCATCATCAGAATTCTAACTACCGGGAAATCTACAAACAGCACTTTACATATTCATGACAAGGATACCGGGTTATCAAACAGCAGCTCGGAGGGAAAAAACATGAAGATAAGATCTCGGAAAAAAGAAGTTAAGGCAACAAATAAGGAAAAAAATCATCAGGATGTACCACAAGGAAAGATATGGACTGCTAACAACCAAAGAAGAGCAATATAAGGACAGCCGGAGAATCTGCAAAGACACCAGTGAAGTAAGGACGTCATCGTTACTACCACAGTTAGAGGAAGATATCAAGACACACAATTATAACGGAAACATCCTCAAAACAACAACAGATTCATCATATGAACAACAACCAAGGAGACAAATGCTATGAAGAATGAATATTATCAAAACAACTACCAAAACATCAGAACAATCCAAAAGTTACTTTGATGAGAACATTACGGAAAATACTTATAAGTGCAATCAGATGAGAAGACCCGCAGAACGGTGGTCATGAGGACTTGTTTGATATTTTTTACTGGTAAGCAGTTCGTTCTTGTAACTTTATAAAATGACTTTTTTCAGTAAGAAACAAAGGCAAAGAGTATTTGCTGAATGTATTTTAAGATAAAACTTGACATTTGTTAAAATGCATGTTTTTGTTGTAAACATATAAGTGATTGAATTCATTTTGAAAAAATGTTATTGTTCTGATTGTGTTCCTTCTTTATTAACAGGTGATAGTAGAATATCGGTATGATGCAGTATGAAGCACATCCCAGAAGAATATTTTTGTCAAATGAATCAATGATAAAATAAAAATTTAATTTATAAATATGTATGTATTTTAATTGATTTATTGGGTCCCTTGCTTTTATTAAAAGCGAACGATTTTTTTTATATATCGATCTTAGCTGCAGTTCTAACACTCGTTTGAATATTGAATGAACACAGTAGCACTGGTTGAAAAAAAAAGTATAAACATTTATTGTGCACAAATAGAAGTCGCTATTTTTCTATATATTTCTCCAAGATTTCAAAACTGTCATCTCAAAACCGTGTGCATCTTGCATAATCTTTTATAATTTCCTTAACAATTGCTGATAACAGTTCTCCTGTACCTGAAATTTAAACAACCGAAATGGTTGTCTTATTTATATTGCTATTTTGGTCAAGCGCTCTTTGTGCAAATGTCTAAATGAAATAGGTTTAGGGATTTTTTTTTTTTTTAAATTGAGCTGAAGTGCTGTTGGGTTGAGAATTTGGATGAATTAATGTAGAATCGAGCGCAATTTTTTGTGTGCAATAAATGAACAGTTTTTTTTCTGTTGGTTACATTGTAGCTTTGCTGTAAATATTTATAGGGAGCAACATTCTTAACGAACAATTTTCCATCCCTTGTAATAAAATGGGTTAATGAACAAGATGTGTTTGTGAAATACTATGCGCCCGGCGGGAACAAAATTCGATAAAAGCCATTTTTAGCAAATAGGTCAAGGTCACAAGGTCATTGACCTTGGTGTCATTTGAAAGAACTTATTAATGGAGTATGCATACCAAATATGAAATCTCTATCTCTCATGGTTCAAAAGTTATAAAAGTTATGGTGATGGTTCAAAAAAGTTATTTTTAGCGTATTGGTCACAATCAAGGTCAAAAGGTCATTGACCTTGATGTCATTTGAAAGAACTTGATTAGTGGAGTATGCATACCAAATATGAAGTCTTTATCTTTCATGGTTCAAAAGTTATGGCGAAGGTTAAGGTTTGCAGACAAACAGACCAACAAAAAACAGACAGACAGGACAAAAACAATATACGCACCGGATCTATCGATCCGGGCGCATAAAAATTACAGCCTAACGTTTTATATGATATGAGGGACATCGGTCAACGTTCGACTTAATGTCCGTGTATTTTTTTTTTTTTTTTTTTTTTTTTTTTTGCAAACAGTTATTGTATCTAACAAATTTGCATTGTAACTTTGTAAAGGATTAAATTTATAAGTGCTTGGACACTCGTATTTGAAGTTACTACTATGATAAATATCACATTTTATCTCGAAGTTATTGGAACTTCGAATTTCTGGACACGTTTCATCGACACGTCCTTGCACTTTGACAAATTTATTTTTATCCTAGATACTTAAGAAAAGTAGTGAGGTTTTGCTTTCAACATTTTTACTCTGAATTTTCTGGATTATAGATGTAATAATTTTCAATAATACACAGCAAAATTGCTACTTTTCTTAAATATTATAGGGATAAGTTAAATTTTTTGAAAGTGCAAGGATGTGTTAGTCAAGCGTATCCCGAAATTCGTAGTTCCAATAATTTTAAGATAAAATAAGTTTTCATATTTTCAAGTGAAATGCTATTGAAATATATAAGTCGTGATTCTATACAGAGAAATTGAGAAAATATTAAGTTTAAATCTGTGTTTAAGCACCTGTCAACCAAATTTTCGTGTTTCCAATCTAATTGTCAATAGCCTGTCTTCTTTTAAAAATCGTTCATACATAGCATACTTATGCACCTGTGCATCAGTTCAATTGGAATTTAGTATAAGAGATGATTTGTCAGTTTAGCATCAATTATCAATAGTAAGGCATCCAAATATGAAATGGACTTTGTGGGGTATCATTGGGATTCACGCATCGATGTTGACAAATAAGTTGTTGGTGCAAGGATACCGTTTAGTATGAAATTTAGTCGTCAGTTTACCATCAATTTTGTTGCTAACATCCATCGTCACGTATTTTGTATCGAGATCAATGGGATGTATCGACGAAGAAGTTATAATGATACGAGGATATCAAGAGTCTAGTCAACATTTCGTACATTCTTAAGTCAACACAATGATATTAGCTAATACAAGCTTCCGTTCTGTCGAGTGATGACTGACATTTTTTAACACAAGTTGTTAGGTCATTATTTTTAATTGAATTTTTTAACGCATTGTTTGTTAGCCCGACCATGCAAAGAAGCACGAGGTTCATGAGTTTGTCAGGCTGAAAGGGGATGCTTACTCCTCTTGGGCACCTAATCTCACCTCTAGCATTATCTGTTTGTTTTGCTCCCAGTTTATTCAAAATGTTTCCGTGAAGTTTTGAGTTTTATTACTGATTGTTGTCTTCATATTTTGTAAATTCAACTGAATATTTGAAATTCATAAATCAATATAAACAAAGCATGAGACTTCTTTTTCAGTTTTTTTTTAAATAAATGTGACTTTGAATAAAAAAAAATGGCCGAACACATCCAACGGCATTCAAACAGATTTTTGGAAATCTTGATCCTCAAAAACTTCTTATGGATTTTGTCATTGAGTACCTTCATGTAGAATCACAATGTTTCTAATAAACAAAATAAGTTTGCATGTGACTGGTAGTTTCCGAGTTCAATTTTTTAATGAATCTAAGTAGTTACAAGTCGTTATGCTCAGTAAGTAGAGAGTGCAGACTCGCCACGACCCAAACCCAGTCAATTACATATATAAACGATAGCGACGGAGTCTTGAAGTAATACTACACAAAATTGTGTAATTAACAAATGTCAATTCATCCACTATTAATGCGTGATATCATTTGATTATCATTAATTGATGAGTCTCCATTCGTTGCTGTATACCACGTAATAAAATCCTGCTAATTAAATACTATAGATTAACCTCGGCGTCTGTAATTGTGTTGAGAAAATATTTGTTAGTTTGCTCTGGGAAAAGTTAGAGAGTTTTAATTATTTATCGCTTCCAAGATATTGACTCCTGGGTATATATGAACATAATTGGCTTTTTATAACCGTAAGCGTCAAGAATGAGATTTTCCTCCAAAGGTGGGTAGATAATTGTTTTACTAAACGATTTAGTTTTAGCAAATACATTTTCAATTTACTTCGCTATTAGATTTATGCGTAGAACTTACACTATTTTTTGATAAAAGTTAAAAACTTTCAATCAAGGACTTGCCTTCGGGTCCAGAAAAAGAGACATTTTACGACAAACATAAAAAAAAATTGATCGAAATTTCTACGGCTAGCTCTTGTGAGACTTGAGTACATGTTAAGGATCAGCTACAATAAATTCTCAAATATGTAACTTAATAAAAATGACGTTTTCCGTGCAAGTAAAGTGGGAATTTTTTTTGTAAAATTTTGTCACAATGTCAGAAATATCTGCAATATTTTATATAAAAAACAAAATAAACTGCATATCTAAATTTTTTATTGTGTTATGCATCCTTAATCAACAGTTTTCATGTTTACAATACTGACAGACAAGTTTTCTATATATTAAGTTTTCTTTTCTTTCTCAAAAAAAAAACAAAACAATATCAAGTCCTATTTTAAAGCAGTAACTTGGAATTTTTAACCTACAATTCAAAGTATTCCTCATAAGGAGAAGATGTATAATGATTCAATCATCATGGTTTTAAAGTCGTACATAATTTTGATTTGGTGGCTTGAAAACCTGAAGAAAAAATTGCGACAAGTTATATTGATTAAACAGTTAAAATGTAAATGCATTATAAAACATGACTATCTCAAGCATAAAATGAACAATATTTGAGTCCGAACAAGGACAAAATACTTTATTTTTCTTTAAAATACTTAAAAAAATTTTGGCTCTACATTTAAGTTGCAGAATTTATATATTTTAGTTTTTCTATAGTTTTTCTATACACGACAGTTGTTAGTTTAATCCGAGACATAACAGTTGTTTGATGTAGTTTAGTTTTTTCCTTGTTAAACTGTGTTGTATCGTTTCAGAGTGATGGTGTGGATAAGAAGAAAACGCACTTTCCTGCTAAAGTTGACTTTTTACGTTTTTTATTTATCAGTTGTAATTTACATTTTCCAAAGTTTGTTCCATGCATATACTTTGAAGGAAAAGTATAAAACTAACAATTTGCAGAGTGAAAGTTTCGAAAGTCTCCAATTCAAAACTAAATTCGTTTCGATCAATTATGCCTTTCTCTTACATGAAGAAAAGAGGGTGAGAAAAAACTATTACGCAGATTTAATAAGACAAGAAAAAAAGACGCCAATTTATCACCAATATCCGTTAAATGTCGACTTGAAAGGGATCTTAGATCAGATCAAAAAGAAGGAACCAGTTCCACTGCCTGTTATTAATCCTCATCCCTTTTCTTACATTATCAATCCTGAAAAAACGTGCCTGTCGTCGAAAGTTACTTTGGTGATATTAGTAAAATCAGCAGCTTCCCATATGGAAAACCGTGATGCCATCCGAAAGACCTGGGGAAATATTCCGGATCCAGCTATAAAAGTTGTTTTCCTATTAGGTTCTTCTGAGTTTAACCCGATTATTATTGAAGAAAATTATTTCCATCATGACATAATACAGGAAGATTTTCAGGACGATTACAGGAATAATACATATAAAACAATAATGGCTTTCCAATGGGCAACAACGTACTGCACCAGCGCTCGTTTTCTTCTCTTCGTCGATGACGACTTTTATGTGAATCTTCCTAATTTGCTTTTCTTTTTAGGAAAGTTAACGAGTAATGTTTCTCTTCTCTCGGGGTATGTTTTACCCATGTCCGAGCCTTTCCGTGACAAGTCTAGCAAATGGTATGTTCCTTTTGAAGATTACCCATTTCATCGTTATCCGCCATATCTGGCAGGTGGCGCTATCATAGCGTCCATGGACGTTGTGCAACAGATGACTGCAGCTTTCCCTTACGTGAAATACTTGGTTATTGACGATGCATATTTAGGAATTGTTGCTTACAAACTTGGGCTACACATTTCACACAATCGAAAAATTACAGACAAGCATTGCCAAGACTGGCGCCTACGCTCAAAGATTGCTTGTCATGGATTTGGTAATGCTAGTATTCTGGTCCAAACCTGGATTCGTTTGAAAAATATTACAACCAAAAACTAGAAAGACAGGAAAATCTTAATTATTTGAGTTTATGCATAATGTATATAATTTTGACACACATACATAATATAATAATATTATTATGAATATATATATACCTCCTCGCCTTTTTGAACATGTATATTGAATCATAAAGAAAATTTTAAGTTTAAATTAGAGTTACACATACTAATGAGTGAAAAATTCTCGAGAGGCATTTTAAACAACATAAAAACAAACAAATACTTATATGAGGCTTATATATCAAGATAATAGGATCATAGAAAAGTCAAAGTTGATACAAACTGCTTTACAATGAAGTCAACCAGTCACAGCATCAGCAAACTGATGTTAGCTGCTTATATACTTAAGAGTTATCGTGTACAATTAATAAACGTAATATAAATCATTGAAATTTCATTCACAAGCCTTGATAAAAGTATTGGTAATTCTGTATTTCTATAGGTTTGAGCTTAGATGTGAGAACTGTTCCTATACTGATTTACCTATTTCAGATCAATACTAAAATAATTTCAGACACGAATGCTTGGCAAACTGAACACACTCGTATATCACATGTATATTCTTTCGCTGATAATGTTGTTCAATACTCTTCTCTATAAGATTTATAACACTTGTTGTTATGATCAATTCAGTTTGGTAATAGGAGTATTTTAATAAAATCATTACAGAAAATGTACACGGCATTCTAGGATCTTGAAGAGGTATCCTGAATCCAATATTCCAGATTACACGCGTTTGCGTGTGCGTGTATTTTTCAGGGTATGGCAAAATGGGTAAAAAATGGAAAAATTAAATATACATTGGAGACGGCGAGGATAAGCTTAAAAAGTTTAAATTATACGTAGCCGTATACCTATCTGTTCTACAAGTACAATGCTGTTTTGTTTAAAAAACGATTAAATAAATAAAATAAAACTTGTCAACCATTCAGCTCATGGAATTCGTTATAGCACTATTTTCTTTATTTAAATATTATAATAGAAAGTCTTCTTTATACAAAATATTTCTGTGATATGGAATTGCAAATCTATAGGTCGTGTGTACTTGTTGAATACAATACTTATTATTTTCAACCTTTATGACCTCGTTCTTAGTAAACAAGGGGCTGTACCGAAACAATAACGAGCATAACGTAATTTGTTAAACATAAACAATTTTAAACTTATTTACAAATGTTAGGTAATAATGTGAATGTTTATCAACAGTGGTAAGCCAAACAAATTTCGTGTATACATCCTAAAGGTCGATATAAAAAAATCCATATCTTTAAAGGTGCACGGTCCAGAAGTAAGTCAACGCAAAAGATCATAAGCCAAGTATGAAATATTTACACGACATCACAATCGTTCGGGGTATGCTATGGTACAAAACTCTTCAGCATACCATATACTTTATGAATGAAAGAATTAGAATGTTAGGTACTTTTAAAATCATTATGTTGCAATCCATTTTTCCTTCATTTATATACTTTCAAAATTTATTGCAAGCACATTATTGTAAGATTGCGTAGCAGCCCCTCCCATCCCCAGTTTTCTGTAAGCTACCCCCCCCCTTTACAAAAAAGAATTTTCAAGCTTGGAACTAAGACAGTCTACCCCACCTTTTTTTTAAACTGTATGTTATTAGATGGTGTCTGGCCACAGGCTCCTGTTTCTGTTATGTTTTTTTTTAAAACCCATAGTATGATAATAACACGTTTTATTATCATTATAAAACTTACATAAACAAATGTCTGTGTGTCTGACATATGGCAATGATAATAAACTTTTTATGAGTAGGAGGTATTGGTACAGAGATATATGTATATGTCTCGACCCCCCCTCTCTTTCATCAATTTAAATAAAGTAAATATAGAAAATACGTGTATACTGATATTATATTCAAAACAACGGAATTAAATGTCCACGAATCAATTTTAGATCTAAGATGACAGATCAACGAAATTCTATCCCCACCAAAATCTGTGCGAATGCATTATTGACTTTTAAAAAAAAATGTATTCCTCTAAAAGTTTTTATTTCAACATGGATAGTTTTTTAGCTCTACTGGTCAGAGACCAGAAGAGCTTATGCAATAGTAATGCGTCCGGCGTCCGTCCGTCTGTCTGTCTGTCTGTCCGTCTGTCTTTAAACAATTTTTCAAAATGCTACTCCTCCTACAGTTTTGGCCTGATTTCAATATAACTTGGCACACAAGTAAACTACACTAAGATACATAATTCTGTTTATCGGTTTTTGATTTCGATGAACGGTGTTGCCGTTGTTACTAAAAATAGAAATTTCTGTGAAAATCATTCAAAATGCTACTCCTCCTACAATTTTGGTCTGATTTCAATATAACTTGGCACACAAGTAAACTACACAAAGATACATAATTCTGTATATCGGTTTTTGATTTCGATGAACGGTGTTTCCGTGGTTACTAAAAATAGAAATTTCTGTGAAAATCATTCAAAATGCTACTCCTCCTACACTTTTAGTCTGATTTCAATATAACTTGGCACACAAGTAGACTACACTAAGATACATAATTCTGTTTATCGGTTTTTGATTTCGATGAACGGTGTTGCCGTTATTACTAAAAATAGAAATTTCTGTGAAAATCATTCAAAATTCTACTCCTCCTACAGTTTTGATCTGAATTCAATATGACTTGGCACACAAGTAGACTACACTAAGATACATAAGTCTGTGTATCGGTTTTTGATTTCATGAACGGAGTTGCCGTTGTTACTAAAAATAGAATTTTTTTTGAAATGCATTCAAAATGCTACTCCTCCTACAGTTTTGATGTGATTTCAATATTACTTGGCGCACAAGTAGACTACACTAAGATACATAATTCTGTGTATCGGTTTTTGATTTCATTGAACGGTGTTGCCGTTATTACTAAAAATAGAATTTTTTTTGAAATACGTTCAAAATGCTACTCCTCCTACAGTTTTGATGTGATTTCAATATAACTTTGCACACAAGTACACTACACTAAGATACACAATTCTGTAAATCGGTTTTTGATTTCAATGAACGGAGTTGCCGTTGTTACTAAAAATAGAAAAAAAATTTGAAATACATACAAAATGCTACTTCCCCTACAGTTTTGATGTGATTTCAATATAACTTTGCACACAAGTAGACTACACTAAGATACATAATTCTGTGTTTTGGTTTTTGATTAATGGTGTTGCCTTGGTTACTAAAAATAGAAATATCTTTGAAATACTTTTAAAATGCTACTCCAAGTACAGTTTGAGTCTGATTATAATATAATTTGGCATGCAAGCAGACTACACTGAGATACATAATTAACAGTTTTGTTTTTGATTTTGATGATTTATGTTTCCATTGTAATTTAAATTGAAAATTCAGTAAAATTTTATTGAAAGCTACTCCTACAGCTGTAGTCTTATTGCAATCTTGCCTCAAAAAGAGACTTAATCAAGGATCATTACTCTATTTATTGCTTTTGTAAAGTTTTAAGTCCCAACTGCTACTTTTCTTTCCTTTATTATACCGGTAAGTACAACCCAGTAGAGCTACAGTCTCGACAGAGACTTCTGGTTTTTACACAAGTTGAAATACAGTCCTTACCTTTTTATATTCAATAGAGGAAACCTAGGACTTAACATGAGAAATGTGAGCTACGGAAATGAAATAAGTATTGAAGAATATAGATATCACTGTAGGCATTATGTGTAGGTTTACATGATATTTGCTTTTTACGTTCAAATTAAATTTTACACCTATATTTTGAACTAATATCCCATAGGCGTCGGAAGCAAATTTAAAGTAGGGGCTGCCTATATTATGGCTATCTTTGTATTAAAAAAAAAAAAAAAAAAAAAAAAAAAGGGGGGGGGGTAAGCTGACACCTATGTATCACCAAGTTTCTATAGTTAGATTGACTTTAATCAGTTATTGTTTTATAGATCTCGGATATTTATGAGACGCGATTGATTTAAATTTTGTAATTTACAGGAAAGTCCTATCTTTATTTAAAGTAGCATAATACATGTAAATAGAAAGATCTTTTTTAATTTTGGTTAGTCTGAACTTATGAAAAATATGCCAAATATGACAGAATGCGCGAACTGACTTCCTTGTTAGATCTAAGGATGAATTTAACAACCAGAATCAAAATTTTCAAATGACTGCGTGCCAAAACCATCATGTTTAATTACTTCTTATTCGCGAAAACTATTTTGCGTATTAATGCAAGACACATTGTTCGCGATTATTTCATTTTTGTGTACGTTTGCATTTTCAAAAATACTTTTAGCAATGGGCCTACTTGTTTTCAGTTTTCCAACCTTTTTTCCGTTTCAAATGCTGGAATCCCAGGCTATCAATAACATAAAAATTCTCACAAAATTTCTCGATTAAACGATAACTGAAATACTGTGTCTTTAGAATGTGGAAAACATCAAATCCAGATGAAAATACATTACAAAATTCTTGAAGAAATAGCAATAGGCACAAGTTCACCGCTGCGTCAGGAGAGGGTGTTGGAAAGTCGAGTTTCCCGACTTTTGATTGACTAATTTTACAATTTCCTTCGAGTTAAAATGTTGGACTGGAACTCCATTGAAGATTATCATTTGAAATGTATATTGTACGATTTCATACTAATTCAAACTTCTCGTAGCAAAAATAACGGTCAAAACAGAGAATGTTTTCGTTTCACAAAAAGAACTTAAAACTAAGACCCAATACTTTTGGTTTGATGTATTATTTTCAAAATGAATTATTCAATTTTAAATTGATGACATACAACTATATGTTTCTGAATTCTTTAATTTTTAATTTTAAAACTATCAAAACAGTTTTCGAAAGGTTCATTAGAAAATAATAATTAAGTAGAATTACATGTTTGACTGTCAAGTCTTTATTCTTTTGTAAAAAGGGGCCTCTCTTCTCGATATTTATGCTACAGTCAGCTTAATTGAATCAAACCAATAGTTCAAGTCGTGCGAACATATGCTGCATTCACAGGCACCTGACGTTACTTTTTTTTAATAAAAAAAATATATATACCCATAGGTATGGGTATTTTTTTTTTATTAAAAGAAAAATAAGTAACGTCAGGTGCCTGTGGCTGCATTTTATAATCTTTTTCACAGGCACTTGGGGTATGGACCCCCCCCCCCCTTTCCATTTTTTTTCTTTATATCTGATACATAAAAAGAGAGAAGTCTCTCTTTCAGTCGAAAACGATATTTTTAAAAACAGCTTATAGAGACAAAAGAGTTACATTATTGATCATATATAGTGCATATTAGAATACAAAAATAGGAAAAAGGTGACTCGACCCCCAGGTATAAAGAAAAAAATGGAAAAGGGGGGTCCATACCCCAAGTGTCTGTGATCTTTTTTAATACCGTCTCCAAAGAAACTAAAATAAATCTTTTTATAGCCTAATGCTACAATGTCTGAACTTGCTTTTTCGTTTCGCGATAAAAAAAGTTTAAATGACATATTTTCCAGCATTTCAAGCTCTTTTTTTTTATCGATTTTGTCAAGATCCACCTACGGAGTGAGATCTTACTATCTATGTTACAAACATTTTGATTGGGTATTACAGAAAAATTTTCCATTTTCATGAGATAAATACCTAAGAGGTAGTTGCCTTCAGAAAATAAGTAATTAGTTAGTTAGAAAAATAGGACTTTACTGAATTAGATTAAAACAAATTTGGTTGAAGAAAAATATAACTAAGGCATTTGATTCTTTAAACATAACTTCTCATACTCAAAAATTTAACATCCAATCAAAAAAAGCGAACTATACTTTGAGAACCCACGAAAATTAATTACCTATAGTATTTGGGATATATTCCAAACTGTGAGATATAAAATTATTTTTGTTGTATGTTACGTTAACAACAGCTGAATAATTTCTTATAGTCTTAGGATTTCATTATTTAAAAAGCCCTTTAAAAAATTTTAAATGTCGTTTATTTACGGATTTTTCCGAAGTTTTACGAATATGGCGGTTATGTTCCAGTTTCAACCGGTTGAGGAAATTTCGATGCTTTTCTTAAAAAGTTGGGTGTATGTCAGTGGAAAAGTTCTTCGAGGTAAGACTTCTTGTGTGTAGATTATGATAGTCATTCAAAGCTGAAATGACACATAAAAGCGTATTTGAAAGGAACACATCATTAAATTTCTTTTATTTTATGGAGGCGGCCATATTTGAAGCTACGGAAGCATATTTATGTTTATCACGTGATTGACCGATATTGCGCGGTTTATAAGAATGGAAAATTACTGATGGCAAAGAACAGCATGGAAGGTCTTTCTAAATGTTGCATTGCAAGAGAATCGAAAATAATAAAAAGACTCATAAATGGATAGTGTCGCGTCAATATCATATAATTTAATTTTTACCAAAACGATTTTACATAAAAAATTTAATCTGAGTTATTTTTAAAAAGTATTTTGAGTAAAAAAAAAAAACAACGTTCAATTTAACGCAGATATTATAGAAATGGTTTCTAAAACATGACAAAGTTGTACTCTAAAAAAAGATCTACGAAATGGTCAAAGTTGTTGAACAATGTTGTGTAAGGCAGCAACTGGGAAAATGGATTTCCATCAAGTCCATGGAAAAGAAAGCTCTACTACTAGAATCTAGTAGTATCCCCCAATTCTCAGCATGACAGTGGTCTACAACTTAGTACATAAATTATGTCACGAAGCAAACATTATATTCCAATAAGCAAACATATAATGCCAAAAGAAACACGTCATCTGACATCAAGGCTCAAGTTCTGTGTTTTAACTACATGCTAAATGTCATAATGTCGGCCTAACAATTTTTGAATTGCATTTATAGACTATAATGATATTAATATAATATTCTAAACTGGCATTTTTTTCAGTTAAGCAGTGTTTTCTCTTAAGAACCGACTGACGGCCAAATTGACCGCTTCAATTGATAAAAATGCCGCCTAGAAATCAAAATTTGTTGTTAGGTTAACATAGTTCTGTACATTAACATGAACGCTTAGCCTGTAACAATCAATCTTTAACCCTTTACTTTAAAATAAAGGGAAAACACTGGTTAAGTACAATGACATGACTTGAATTAAAACGAGAGAAAAAACATCCCCATCACTGGACTATTTTCCAAGTCTCTATATATTTATTACTTCTTCAAAGTTCATAACTTAATTAAGGTGTCAAAGTATTTCGCTGAACAAATCTGCCTTTGTAGACATTCTATACATTGCCACTGTGACTTGATTGTGACAAAATTATGAAATATATGTACACCCTATCATATCAAGGGAAAACATGCAGGTCAATGCATGTAATCAACACAAATGCATGTTGAACAATTAAAATTTTAAAAGTAAGACTAACTAACTAAGACAACATCTAAAGAAGTGATAGATGCTGGCCACAAGTTCTAGGTATGCAATGAGGGGTAATGAATGCAAAATCTATATATAACCTAGTGATGATATCAGAGGTAGAATAACTTGTATGACATAGGGCTAATTTAAATTAAGAATATGAGTTGTATTCATGCTTTTTATCCTGTAATATATTGTTGGTAATTTGATATATTTTCATTTCTCAGAATAGACATCATATACATATTCTTACTAATTTTTCAGTTTGAAAATAAATAATTCACTTTTGATAAACCTAAGTTTTGTTTTAGGTGCTACTTCCCTAAAAGGTTTTGATGCCACCCATAGCAATGAATTCGGTTAACCTCTCAGAGGAGGCTGCCAAGCTCCTGGACTTCAGTCAGAAGCTGGACATAAACCTACTGGACAATATAGTCACAATGATGTACACAGGCAATGGACCACAGGTATAGAGGTGTTCTGCAAATAAAAAAAATGGTATTTTAATTATTAATTCAATTCAATTGGTATGATATGTTGCAAGCTAATTTTGTTCTTATTTTAGCAAAGAATGGCGCAAGAAGTTTTGACAACACTGAAAGAACATCCAGATTCTTGGACCAGAGTGGACACAATTTTAGAATATTCTGTAAATCAACAGACCAAGTACTACGCCCTCCAAATCTTAGAAAATGTCATTAAGACAAGATGGAAAGTTTTGCCACGAGCTCAATGTGAAGGCAAGTCAATCCATTGTTTCCAGATAAATTATTAGTTTTTCAATTTGACTCAATCCAGAATCTTTTTGCCCGTTATGTAATATATAAGCTTGTCTTTTACTATGTTTTTCCTGTTATAAAATTTGTCTTTTTTATGTAGGTATAAAGAAATACATTGTGGGTTTAATCATCAAAACATCATCTGATGCTGCCTTATTGGAAAAAGAAAAAGTGTATGTTGGAAAACTCAACATGATCTTAGTACAGGTACAGTATTAATATAATAGGCTTTGTTTGAATTAATAGGATGTCTGGTTGAAATAAGTCTTTCCTCTGATGAAATATTGAGGTACATACAAATTCTTTTTTTTTTCTTTTCCCAGATTTTGAAATATGAATGGCCTAGGAATTGGCCCTCATTTATCAGTGACATTGTAGGAGCTAGTAAAACAAATGAATCATTGTGTCAGAACAATTTAACAATTCTGAAACTGCTTAGGTAAGTAGACAAAATCTTTTTCTTTAGACTGTATTGATGATGATATGTTGAAATGTTCAATAAAATTTGATTGGGTGATGTATTGTAATTTAGATAATGCTCAATTTTTAAAGTTTTTCTCCTTCTTCTATTTCAGTGAAGAGGTCTTTGACTTCAGCAGTGGTCAGATGACACAGGCTAAAGCCAAGCATTTAAAAGACAGCATGTGCAGTGAATTTTCATCTATCTTCCAGCTGTGCCAATTTGTCATGGTAAAGGCTCCAGTATATTATGTTTTAAATAAGCACATTTATTTAAAGCAGTATATTGCTTATAATGAATGACTATATGTATATAGAAGATATATTATGCAGGGATAGATAATATTTGTATTTGATAAAACCATAATGTATATATATTTAGCTCCTTGATTTTACCACTGTGTGATTGAATTCTCGTACTCAAGTTCAGTCATTATTATTTTACAATTTGCTACATATGTAGGACAACTCCCAGAATGCACCATTGGTGGGGTCTACTTTGGAAACACTCCTGCGATTCTTAAACTGGATTCCACTGGGATACATTTTTGAGACAAAGTTGATCACCACACTCATCTATAAGGTTCTATTAAGCTCTCTTTTTATAGGCTTTATCTGTTAGTGTTAGATGGTTCATGCAAAAAAAAAAAAAAGAATTCAAATACTTTTTTTAGGTCACCTGAGTAAACTCAGGTGACCTATTGCTATCCGTTTTCGTCCGTCGTCGTGCGTCGTGCGTTGTGCGTTAACATTTGAACATTTTCAGCTTCTTCTCTGCAACCACTGAACCAATTTCAACCAAATTTGCCACAAAGCATCTATGGGTGAAGGGGAACAAAAATTGTGAATTTTATCCCTGCCCCCCAGGGGCCTGAGGGGTGGGGCCAAAACCACTAAAATTAATGCAATCTTTAAAAATCTTCTTCTTTACTCCTGGGCATCAAGCAGTCAAACTGGTTGCATGATTGTAATCAGCATTGAGTCCTCTACCAAAATTGTGAAATTCATGGCCCTGGGGTCAGGGGTTCTAGTGCTAGGACGGGGCTAAATAAGTAGGTAGTGAAAATGCATTATTTCTTTGAAAATCTTCTTCTCTGCTCCTGGGTATTAAATAAACTAACTAAGTACATAGTTATGATGAGCAAGAGTGCCTCTACCAAAATTGTGAATTTTATGGCCCCAGGGTCAGGGGTTCTGGTGTTAGGGTGGGGCTCTATTGATTATATAGTGAAAATACATGAATTCTTTGAAAATCTTCTTCTCTGCTCCTGGGTATTAAATAAACTAACTAAGTACATAGTTATGATAGAGTGCCTCTACCAAAATTGTGAATTTTATGGCCCCAGGGTCAGGGGTTCTGGTGTTAGGGCGGGGCTCTATTGATTATATAGTGAAAATACATGAATTCTTTGAAAATCTTCTTCTCTGCTCCTGGGTATTAAATAAACTAACTAAGTATATAATTATGATGAGCAAGAGTGCCTCTACCAAAATTGTGAATTTTATGGCCCCAGGGTCAGGGGTTCTGGTGTTAGGGCGGGGCTCTATTGATTATATATTGAAAATACATGAATTCTTTGAAAATCTTCTTCTCTGCTCCTGGGTATTAAATAAGCTAACTAAGTGCCTAGTTATGGTGAGCAAGAGTGCCTCTACCAATATTTGAATTTTATGGCCCCAGGATAAGGGGTTTGGTATTAGGGGGGGGGGCTCTATTGATTATATAGTGAAAATACATGAATTCTTTGAAAATCTTCTCTGCACCTGGGTATTAAATAAACTAAGTGCATAGTTATAATGAGCAAGAGTGCCTCTACCAAAATTGTGAATTTTATGGCCCCAGGGTCAGGGGTTCTAGTGCGGGGGGGGGGGGGGGGGGGGGGCTCGATAGATTATGTAGTTAAAATACACGAATTCTTTCAAAATCTTCTTCTGTGCTCCTGGGTATTAAATAAACTAACTAAGTGCATAGTTATGATGAACAAGAGTGCCTCAACCAAAATTGTGAATTTTATGGCCCCAGGGTCAGGGGTTCTGGTGTTAGGGTGGGGCTCTATTGATTATATAGTGAAAATACAGGAATTCTTTGAAAATCTTCTTCATTGCTCCTGGGTATTAAATAAACTAACTAAGTGCATAATTATGATGAGCAAGAGTGCCTCTACCAAAATTATGAATTTTATGGCGCCAGGGTCGGGTTTTGGTGTTAGGGCGGGGCTCTATAGATTATATAGTGAAAATTCATTAAATCTTTAAAAATTTTCTTCTCTGCTCTAGGGTATTAAGCAGATGAACTACCTATATAGTTATTATCTACAAGGGCCCTAATCTTCCAAAATTGTGAATTTCAAGGCCCCAGGGTCAGGGGTAATATGGGGGTGTGTACTTATATACTGAAAATGAATGAATGGTTTGAAATTTGCTCCTTGGTATTAATCAAATATCAAGGCCTAAGGGTCAGGGGTTCATGTGTAGTAGGGGCACTACTGATTATTGCTGAATATAACTGATTAGTTGAAATGCATTTTTTGTTCCCCTACCTTGTGTATGGGTATTGAGTAAACAAACTAAGCAACTGCTAAGTGAATTGTTATGATGAATTAAATTTAATCACTGGAAAGTTGTTGCATAATGCTCAGGTGACCTATAAGGCCCATGGGCCTCTTGTTTAATTTATTTTCATACTGGTTGAATTACATTGAATAATGACAAATTAATACAAGAATTTTTTTCAGTTTGAATCTATGAATAACTAATTTGGAATTTACTTTTTTTTCAGTTTTTAAATGTCCCATTATTCAGAAATATTACCCTTAAGTGCTTAACAGAAATAGGTGAGTGATTTAAATGTAAATTCAAAACACATATTTAGGTTGAATTTGTTAATGACAGTTTTTTTTTAGGTGATCTACATATAAATCAGTACGAGATAATTATTTAACTCGATAAAATGTTTATCATATTTTCTTAATATCTCGTTTTAGCTGCTGTCTGTGTTCAACAATATGACGAGCAATTTGTTCACTTGTTCAATCTCACAATGACTCAGTTGAAACAGGTACAGAGATTTGTAATCAAATGCATTTTGAAAATTCTTAAATGACAAGATATGGAAAAAAAATTGTTTAGTTTGCAATTGTCATTTATGCAAAAAATTTGAATAAGCTTTTAATTGTACATGTAGATGCTGCCTTTAGACACAAATTTGAAGGAGGCCTATCAGAAAGGAACAGATGATGAACAAAAGTTTATTCAGAACTTGAGTCTATTTCTCTGTACATACCTGAAAGAACATGGCCAGCTGATTGAGAGGAAGCAGGACCTGCACAGTGTCTTACTGGAGGTAAAGGTTATATTGGCAAACTGCTATTGTATAAGCTTGTCCAGGTTTTTAGACTTGAAACAGGATTTTAATTAGGTTCCTTGATTTTGGTAGGCCTTGAATTACCTAATACTAATATCAGAAGTGGAGGAGGTGGAGATTTTTAAGATTGCTTTGGAGTACTGGAACACACTGGCTGCTGATCTGTACAGAGAGAGTCCCTTTTCTTCCAACACATCACCATTGCTCATCGGGAAACCCCACCACAATGATGTGCCTGCCAGGAGACAGCTCTACACACAAGTCTTATCAAGGGTTGGTATTGTGTGGAAATGAAGAATTTTTCGATTTGCATTTTATTTCGTTTTGTTTGAATTTGCTGTTGATTTTGTATTAATTATATATAAGATCTAATTTTAATAGGTCCGAAGGGTCATGATTTCAAGAATGGCAAAGCCAGAGGAAGTCCTTATTGTGGAGAATGAACAGGGAGAGGTTGTGAGAGAATTCCTCAAAGATACAGACTCCATCAATCTGTACAAAAACATGAGAGAAACACTAGGTAAGATTCTACTCGGTAAATGTACCACAAAGAAGGCTGCCTATATCTCATTCAGTTGACTGAGGATTCTCCATGTTCTATTTTTAGTGTATCTGACTCACTTGGATTACAACGATACAGAGTCAATTATGACAGAAAAACTTCACCATCAGGTAGATGGTACCGAGTGGTCTTGGAAGAATCTGAATACAGTAAGTAGGATTTGAGATTCCATCCTGAGGAGGAAGCAGGATGTAACATAAATAGAATACATAAAATGATGTTTTAAAATTCCCTTACTTTTGATTTTTCTTTGAAACTTGTGACAAATAAATGATGATTGTTATGATGAGGGATTTTTCTGTTTCAGTTATGTTGGGCCATAGGATCCATTAGTGGAGCCATGCATGAAGATGACGAGAAAAGATTTCTAGTAACGGTCATTAAGGTTAGAAATCTTTTTGATAATACTTTGAGAATATTTTTTTAATTTTATGTTACTACAGAGACTGTACAGAGAATTCTGATATAAAGAATATGATGAAAGTGTATTTGTGTATTTAAACAGGACCTGTTAGGGTTGTGTGAACAAAAGAGGGGGAAGGACAACAAAGCTATTGTAGCCTCCAACATTATGTATGTGGTGGGACAATATCCTCGCTTCCTTCGGGCACACTGGAGGTTCCTCAAAACGGTCGTCAACAAACTCTTTGAGTTCATGCATGGTGAGTTGCTTTGACAGGTTTTGTTGGGAAATGTAAATTTGTAATGAAGTTCCTATGTGAAATTTATTAAAGATAAAGTACAGTGGTGTTTAATTATTACGGTGTATTGCAACAGATACATGGTACATTGGAAATGCAAAGCACCAAACACTACACAAAATATAAAATAGGAAAGTTAATGTCAGGACTCAACATTGATGATTGTCCAATGGTAAATTTCATGAGATGCTTATAATTGAATAACATAAAAGATTTCAGAAACAAAAACCTTATACTGCACATGTATGTTTTTGATCGTAATTATGAGACTCCACTGTACATTTACATGAAGAGAGCTATACTGTGTGTTATACTAAGCTATATGGCTATGACAAGAATACAAGGTAAAAAGAAGTGATCAAGCTTTTGTTTTTCTCTTCAAAGAAACCCATGATGGTGTACAAGATATGGCATGTGATACCTTCATTAAGATTGCCCAGAAGTGCAGGAGACATTTTGTTCAAGTCCAGGTTGGAGAGGTGATGCCATTCATTGAGGAAATTCTAAATGGAATCAACACAATCATCTGTGATCTACAGCCACAACAGGTAAGGAAGCTCAGGAGAAATGGTCAACAGATCGGGTATTTAGGAGACTGTAATGATTACATGTACGAGTATTATCTTGTAAGAAGACAATAAAAAGATTAAGATGATTGGTTGGAAGCTTTCATTGATTCTGTAGTGCAACATTCTGAACAAAAAAATTTTCTTTGAAATGGACTTTTGATAAATAATTCATTAGTATTCAATTTGAATAATTCACTTCTACTTACCTGTACTGGTTGACCCATCCGTTTAATAACTGATTAAACTAGAGTTATATCTACATACACCTGTACAGTATGTACATGTTTGTCCTTATTAAACATGAGGGTTAAATCATAGAAGAAGTGATTTGTAATTGCCACAAGTGATTCAAAGAACAACCAATGTTATTTTTCTTCTTAGGTGCACACATTCTATGAAGCAGTGGGGATGATGATCAGTGCTCAGAATGACCAGGTAGCTCAGGAACATTTGATAGAGCGATACCTCTTGTTACCAAACCAAGTGTGGGACGGAATCATAAACCAGGCAACACAGAACGTAGAAGTTCTCAAGGACCCTGATGCTGTAAAACAACTAGGAAACATTCTCAAGACAAATGTTAGAGCATGCAAGGCACTGGGTCATCCTTATGTAGTGCAGGTTAGTGTGAAATCAAAAAGAAACGTCAATTCATGTCCATGAAAATTAAATGAGTTTTATATTTCAACAAAGTGACAAGAATTTGTTTTACCATTTCATAGTCAGTGGTGAAATGTTCTCCATTTGTTGTTACAGTTAGGAAGAATTTATCTGGACATGTTGAATGTGTACAAAGTGATGAGTGAGAACATTAGTAGTGCAATAGCAACAAATGGTGAGACAGTGACAAAGCAGCCACTGATACGCAGCATGAGAACGGTGAAGAAGGAGACACTGAAGCTAATATCGGGCTGGGTCAGTCGCTCCAATGATCCACAGATGGTTAGTACTGAAGGTTGATTGTGATTGAATACAGTCATTACATTGCAGATGAAAAATCTTAATTACTTTTTGAGATCATCAAATCATGTTAGTCATATTTATAAAGAAGCATCCTCAAGTACCATAGATTCACGGGGGGGGGGGGGGGGGGGGTAAGAGAGGGCCACATCAGGAGATCAAAGTTTACATATGGAATGTATAGGGAAAGGAATATTTTTATGCCCCCCTTCGAAGAAGGGAGGGCATATTGCCTTGCTGCTGTCTGTCGGTCGGTCTGTCGGTCCACTTAGTTTCCGTTCATTTTCTTCGCAACCGTTGCACATACTGAAATGAAATTTGGTATACAGATATATCACATGAATATCTAGGTCAAGTTCTGTTTCGGGTACAATCGCGCCATTTTTGACAGAGTTATGCCCCTTGGACTTAGAAAAATTCCAATTATTTGCAGTTTCCGTTCATTTTCTTTACAACCGTTGCACATACTTAGATGAAATTTAGTATACAGATATATCACATGAATATCTAGGTCAAGTTCTGGTTTGGGTACGTTCGCGCCATTTTTGACAGAGTTATGCCCCTTGGACTTAGAAAATTTCAATTATTTGCAGTTTCCGTTCATTTTCTTTGCAACCGTTGCACATGCTGAGATGAAATTTAGTATACAGATATATCACATGAATATCTAGGACAAGTTTTGGTTTAGGTACGATCGCGCCATTTTTGACAGAGTTATGCCCCTTGGACTTAGAAAACTTCCAATTATTTGCAGTTTCCGTTCATTTTCTTTGCAACCATTGCACATACTGAGATGAAATTTAGTATACAGATTTATCAGATGAATATCTAGGTCAAGTTCTGACTTGGGTACAATCGCACCATTTCTCACAGAGTTATGCCCCTTGGACTTAGAAAATTTCAATTATTTGCAGTTTCCGTTCATTTTCTTCACAACCATTGCACATACTGAGATGAAATTTAGTATACAGATATATCACATGAATATCTAGGATAAGTGTTGGTTTAGGTACGATCGCGCCATTTTTGACAGAGATATGCCCCTTGGACTTAGAAAAATTCCAATTATTTGCATTTTCCGTTCATTTTCTTTGCAACCATTGCACATGCTGAGATGAAATTTAGTATACAGATTTATCAGATGAATATCTAGGTCAAGTTCTGACATGGGTACAATCGCACCATTTCTTACAGAGTTATGCCCCTTGGACTTAGAAAATTTCAATTATTTGCAGTTTCCGTTCATTTTCTTTGCAACCATTGCACATACTGAAATGAAATTTTGTATACAGATATATCACATTAATATCTAGGTCAAGTTCTGTTTTAGGTATGATTGCACCATTTTTGACAGAGTTATGCCCCTTGGACTTAGAAAAATTCCAATTATTTGCAGTTTCCGTTCATTTTCTTCACAACCGTTGCACATGCTGAGATGAAATTTAGTATACAGATTTATCAGATGAATATCTAGGTCAAATTATGTTTTGGGTACAATCGTGCCATTTTTGACAGAGTTTTGCCCCTTGGACTTGGAAAAATTCCAATTTGGGGGGAGGGGAGCATAAGTGTTTTACAAACATCTCTTGTTTTAGAAGTATCTTTGAGACAGCATCATTGAGAAGCAATGGTTAGATTCAATGTAATTGAGAAGTTTGTTCAGTCAGAGCAATTAGGGTTAGAGTGGTTCCATAACAGAAAATCGGAATTTTATATGGGGTAAACAATGTCCCATGAATAAAAGAGAGAATTAACATTTCATGCATTTACTTTGTTTAGGTGGCAGAAAATTTCATTCCACCTCTTCTGGATGCTGTACTACTAGATTATCAGAGAAATGTCTCTGCAGCCAGGGAACCAGAAGTCCTCAGCACCATGGCAACCATTGTCAACAGATTAGAGGTAGGAAATGAACTTTTCCCTGTCTTTCATGGAAATGATAAGTTACTGAAACATAAAATCATAAAAGAAAAATACATGTAAATATTAACATATTTTACTAAACTTCTAAGTCTGATCTGTGAGATTGAGTTGGATATTGTCATTTGTTTGTCCAAAGCTGCCAATCCTTGCATTATTTGCACAAGACCAAGGATGAAGCATTAAAACTACACTTTTTGATTTCTTTTTTATTCCTCTCATATTAGTTTTTCTCAATTGTACAGTTAAGTTTTAATGCACTGATTTTTCAAATTATTTCGCCTTCGGTTTTCACTATTATAATATAATACTCCAAGTCCTTATCTAGCACTTCCATTTATTTTTATTGTATGTTTCCATGTTACATGAAGAATTTAATTTATGAAGGTTTATTTTGAATGATGTTGCAAATTATGTAGTTGTACATCATTTATTTGTACATTTATTAATACTGCGGTTTTTCTTAAAGGGTCACATCACGAAGGATATCCCCCAGATATTTGATGCTGTGTTTGAATGTACACTAGAAATGATCAATAAAGATTTTGAGGATTTCCCTGAACACAGAACAAACTTTTTCTTGCTGTTACAAAGTGTCACTTCACATTGCTTCGAAGGTTAGTAATGCACGCTGTTGAGAATTGTCACTAGTTGTAGTGAGAAGATAAACACAAGTTTCGTCAATATTATTTTGATGCTTTTGTACATGTATTGATTATCTTTTAATTTTATTTCAGCTTTCCTTAACATCCCTCCAGAACAGTTTAAACTGGTGTTAGATTCTGTGATATGGGCTTTCAAACATACAATGAGGAATGTGGCAGATACTGGTCTGGACATTTTATACACGTTGTTACAAAATGTGGCAAACCATGATGAAGCAGCACAGAGCTTTTATCAAACATATTTTACAGACATTTTACAGCATGTGTTTTCTGTTGTGACGGATAGTTCTCACACAGCAGGTACAACTTTTCTTCAGTATCCAATAGTTTTAATGTTTAAGAGTCTTAACGTTTAAACCATGTACATTTATTTTTGAGAATTTTATATTAATTTCATCCAATATCACCTGCCACCTGCAGTATGATTGGATTCAGAGACTTGAATTTTTTTGTAGGATTGACAATACAGGCTTCTATCCTGGCCTACATGTTCACTCTGTTGGAGAACGGGAAGATCACGGTGACGCTAGCCCCCACCTCAGGCCCTCCCATGCAGAATGTCCCCTACATCCAACAGTTCCTCATGAATCTCCTCAAATCTGCATTCCCTCATCTTAATGAGTAAGTTCTCAAAACACTCAGTAAAATACCACTAAAATAACTTGTCAGACAGAGAAAAAGAAGTTAATGAAGAATAAAACAAATTCACCATATAAAGGAATGTTGAATTTTTTATTTACAGACCCCAGATAAAAATATTCATTGAAGGTCTGTTTAGCTTTGACCAAGACATTGCAGCATTCAAGGAGCACCTAAGGGACTTCTTGGTTCAAATCAGGGTAAGAAACTGCAGATTTTAATTTAAAAAAAAATATCAAAATTTATCTGAAATATTTCTTAATTTGCTCTTTCAAGAATATTTTTAATGAATAAGTGATTTAAATTTTTGAATTCCTTTTATAGGAGTTTGCTGGTGAAGACAACCAAGATCTGTTCCTTGAGGAGAGAGAGATGGCCATCAAGCAAGCTCAGGAGGAGAAACGTAAAATTCAGATGTCTGTGCCAGGAATCTTGGGACCTCATGAAATTCAAGAGGACATGCAGGACTAATTTACTCAGTGCTTCCTCTATGTGTGTTTGTAAGAAGTTCGAATTTATATGAAGAAATTCAATGGAAAAAGTGCACTAAAAACATACTCTCAGTATATGAAAATGTGGTGCAAGCATATTCCCCATGAGGCCTTATGGGAAGAAGGTATTGGGCAGCAACTAGGTGCCTCTCACTACCGTATAATCATGGCAGTATTTCTGAGCTCGAGTTAAATCAGTGGGAGGAGAAAGAAGATTCCTGCTATGTTGCCTAACCTGAACTTGTTCATTCAATGTGATGCTATGTTTTTATTCTCTGACAATGGAAGAGCTGCATATCTTTCCAGAAATGTTTGAGAAAAATGAAATTGTAAACAGAGGTCTGGGTTTTAATACCAAAACATAACAGAGTGCTTCTATATCTTAATTTGATTTACATTATTGGTGTGGTTGCACATGGATTTTGTGTGAAATGCAAGTAAACATTTAACTTGTTGAGTGCATTTAAAGTGCAATAATGACCTGTATCATAGGAACATGTATCTCATTTGTTCTCTGAGAAAATTGTATTCAAATCTATTCAAACAGGTTCAGCATAGCATTGAAAGCACTTTCATTATGTTGTAGTTTGTGACAAAAAATTAAATTCAAACAAGCTCAGTTTAAGATGATTGTTTAGTCTTTTCAAGCCAACCATAACTAGTGTATTTGTGTTTTGATTCCTTTCTTAACATTCTTTTTCATCCATTGTGTATTAGAAATTTTTATAATGTACATGTTTACCTATTTTAGACTGAGCTGAAAAGCTTGTCTAACATATCTTAAAATTTTCATCCATGTTATACTTCAGCTTGTGTTAACTACATGTATGAATGGTAATTTAATGTTTCATATTTATTGTCAGTCCTTTTCCATGGCATTTTTTCTCATCTGTTAAATTGTTGTACCGGTAAACCATTTGAGAAATCAAATAAATATATAACGTTAGATAGTGTATCTTAATAGGTGAATGAAAATTAATTGCATATTGTCTTATATGTGAAACTTAAGGAAACCGTTGTAAATTTCATGCCTTGTATTGCAATTCATGAAACATCTGGATTTTTTTGTATGTGTGCATATATGATCACATCTGATACAAGTGAGACAAGTTTCTCGTGTAAGATCTGCCTCACTTTTGGTCTAATGATAATCTATGATTAAGCACTGTCTAAAAATATAATGTGGATACACTTCTTAAGCATTGTTTTGTTAGAAACAATGAGAAGATAAAAAACCAGTAAACTTTGTATCAAAGTGAATTGCTGTATGACTAATTTTTCTTTTGGTGCTTCTGTGAGTGTGTGTAAAATAGTAAATGTTTTTTGTTTGTTACTCAGCCAATATCAAGGGTGATCCAGATCCTCTGTTATACATATTTAATCATGCATTGTTTTCTGATAGAAAAAGTCATGAAAAGTTCAATAGAATCTAAATAAATACTGCTGTGTTTGTTCTATATTATGAAAAGTATTGAAGGGATGGTTCAAGGTCTTCATGACTTCATGTAAAACAAAGTCCAGTTACAAAAGTTTTGATAAGCACTAGGATTTTTCATCTCTTGACCTTGAACTTTGACCTAATTTTCAAAAATGTTAATTTATCCTTATTAACTTTTGAGATTGAGAGAATATGCGGCTTTCATATTTGACGTGTGCATTACCTGTGACAAGATATTTCTGAGCATGCTATGATTTCTGACCCATTGTCCCTGACCTTCACGATTGACCCAGAGTTGGTTGTAAGTCAGCTTCCATCTGCTCTTTTCAAAAAATTCAACTTGGGTGATAACTTCTGAATGACATTTGATAGGACTTTATATTTGACACAATTTGCCATAAATAATGACATATCTCATCAAAAAGACACCGAAAGCGGGAGACTACAATTCTTTGAATTAACGATCCCCAATACGCTACTCCCCTTATAAACCTTGTTTATAGGATAGTGTTTCTGAAACCCTTGGCTATTAAAGATGAATGATCAAGAGTACTGAAATATGCTAGGTCATTTAGATCTGAACCTTAAAAATATATAAAAGTCGATTTTAATGTATATATATGAAATATCCTTTGGAACTTTAAGTGTTCAAATCCTATTGCAATATCTTCTTAAAGTTTTTCAGGGAACAAGCTCTTAAGTCCAAAGCATTACTCCTCAATCATGAAGAATTTTTTTTAATATTGTTTAAAATAATGACAAGAGTATTAATAAAATTTGAATTTTATTTTTAAGAACTTCTAACAATGTCCTTTTTCTACATATCAAGGTACAATAACAGATATATAAACATTTTATTTTTACAAGATGCAAAACATGTTTTATCACAGTGACAAGATGAGATCTCATTTTAATGGGATGCAAGCCTGTAGATTTAAATTATGACGACGTTTTCAAAATATTTTTTTTCTGTCAGTTTTGAATTGAATCTAATGTTTTTGTTAGAGAATTAAATTATGAATATTGTGTAATAAAGAACATGTAGTCAAGTTAAAATTTAAAAAAAAAAAATGAAGGAGGCCATCTCTTAAAAAAAATGTTAGGTTGCCCTCTTCTGACCAACTGGTTTAAAATGGCCTGCCTCAAAAAATTTTTAACCTCCAGAATGCAATTATTCATTTATGCATTCCAGAAAATAAATGTTGAAAATTCAGTATTGATCTTGAGATTTTTAAAATTTCTAAAAAGCTACCTACCCACTTTTATATCCTGAGTTGGGAGAGGACAAGCAAACATTATTTTAAAGCTTGCTTGACCAAAAAATTTCACATTTAAAAATAGGAAAAAATAATCAAATACCGGTATTGAAAAGCTCAGTTTATCAGTTAGTCAAGTTTTTTAATGTATGAAAGTTCTGTAAGGTTCATATGATAAGGTAAACGTGTATATAACACATCTGGACAATACGCTCTCAGAATTGAGACTTTTGTATTATGCATCCCTAAAATGTACCAGGGGTATCTGTCCTGAAAATTAAGCCCAGATAGGGCTAATGTTACTTGAGTGCTGGACTTCCAAAAAATTTAACATGGGGTGCTGGATGCTGAAAAATGGCTGAGCATACTGAATGTTCATCTTAAAACTGTTGAAGCAAGTACTCAGTATATTACAAAGGAATCATTCATGTATATAAACAAATAATTATGACCAGCTGCAAAATTAAAGCTGTAAATGGTACAATAAAAAATTAAGGATAATGTTTAAGATCAATAAATAGGCAAACACCACTACATGTTAGGCTTGCAAACCCATGTTCATTTAAACTGACTTGTGAAATATGGATGGAAATGCTATGAACAAACAGTGAATAAATACATTTTTACAATCTAGGGAAATTCAAAATATCAAAAAACTATGGACTTAAGAGTGATATTAGGCCTTTCCAAGTTTTTTCCTTCTGTTTAGCATCATAGAATTTATATTGAGGTAATTGAAAATTGATTAAAAAAAAACACATTTACACCAAAAACTCCATCAAATCAAATATACCCGGGGACCAGCATCTATACAATCATAATTCCTTTTAAACTTTTGTTCTCAAGATTTGTTAGTGATTTTTATTTGTTCTGATAATTGTATATTACAATATGTACACAGTGAAAAAAATTCTCAAAGAGAGACAATTTTTATAATTGTGTTTTAATATTGTTTTTTCCCCTACTGCTTTGTGTGCTTACCCATATAGAAAGATAGGTTCTTGATGTTAAAGTGGATGCTAAATATAGAAAGAAAAAAATTTGGAATGGCCCTTTGATAACAGCTGGGACACTAAGGTGGTAAAATATAGCTCATAAACAAACAGTTTAAAGCTGACAAGTCCATTCTCCTTAAATATTGCTTTGAGAGTCATTTATGGAAATGCTAATCAATGGACACAAGTACTGTATACAGGGTTATTTTCGGCCCTTGTTATTTTTGCCCTTTCACACTTGAAAACAATTTTTTCCCGTTTTAAATTCGCCCAGTCATAGTTTTGTTTAAGAAATTATACTGTATTCTTTGAATTCACCCCATTTTAAATTCACCAAAAGAGGATAGGACGAAAGGGGCGAAAATAAAACAGGGGCGAAAATTTCCCTGTATACAGTAATACATTGGGATAAAACTTTGTAATATATTCTTTGTCCTGATTCTTCTTTATAATAAATATATATGTAAAATAACTAAACAAAATCCATGAACCTGTAAACATAAACCTCTTTGATAATATAAATTTTCTTCATACTAGCCTGAATATTACTGTTATAAATATGTATACTAAAATATTAATCCTCTAAACTACAATAATAATTAATCCTTCATAACTATTACTAGTACTTTAAGCATTTTATAGTGATCAAATGAAAAAAATTCTTTTAACTGAATTAAATATGCACAGATTAGTTATTAATTCTGTCTCTTTTTGAAATATAAGTTCACAGTACTTCACACTTAACTGAAAAAAACTACATGCTATTAATTTCTGGTACATGTACTAGTATATTTATCTCTGATAATAAAAAGAATGATAATTTATTTCATATTTATAACTTTTCTATTAATTTAATACAGAATATTTTAAAATCACTACATCAAAGGAAATCAGAGAACAAAATCATTTGAAAAATCACAGAAATCCTGCAAGGGGAGATAAGTTTGCTGACTTGAGAGGAGAATTTGAGGGTGAGGTTTTTCTATGATTCAGCTTGTAGGCTCTCATCACGGCTTTTGCTGTAGCTGGCATCAAAGTCATCGTCGTAATCATCTGCAGTATCATCTCGGACACTTCCCGCATGGGAGCTACGAGTCTGTACAAAGTCCTCATCTAGACCCACACTCCTTAATGTTGCTGTAAATTTTTTGTTCACGGCATTCTTTGCATTTACCTGTAAAATCAGTCATGGGGTGAAAAATTCTTATACCAGTATCCACTGCTAAAGTAGCACCATATGGCTTTTAAAAAGAAATTTTGCTTTTCTGCACCATTGACCCTGGTAGTAGTTGGTACATGTACATTTATTTTTTTTTTGGCAAAATTTAATATATTACTTGAGCACTATAATTCAATTTTTAGCTTTTGTAATTGAAATAAATATACAATGATTTTTTTTCCCACATTTCATGAATAGACTACATGATATACATGTATTAATTTTAGTTATGCATGTGATACTATATTTCTTATGGTTACAAATATTATCTACCACCTCCTCAAAACCCTACAAGTCATATTTTGGAACTTTCTCTATATACTGATAGTTTATGGCTTTAAATGATCTGCATAATTATTGCCCTTGGATTCCAAGCATGTCAGACTTTGCCCTTCCCCTTACTTGGGAAATCAGCCATTAAGTTCCCATACACAAATTTTATTCCTGCTTACCATTGTAGCTGAGAGTAAACTATAAACTAAGGCAGTCACTAATAATTTTAGACATACGGTACCTGTGACTGTTGTTCTACCAATAGGGGTCTTCTATCAACTCTCTCTTTCATTTCTGCAAGCTCTTTCTCATATTGTTCTATCCTCTCTCTTTCAGCTTCTCTGAAATAAATTTTGAAAATTTTAATATGCTTTTACATCATTTGAACATTTTTTTCTGTTTTCCTAACTTCCTTTAAACCATACTGCAAAGTGTCATTTAAAAAAAAAATAGATATTTTTTTTCTCATCTCAATTTATATTTTTCCTTAACAATTACAAATAATACATGTAATGAAACTGATTGAATGAAGAGCTTTTAGAAAAATGCTACATTTATTGGTAACCAGACTGAGCATCTGGGAAAATTACAATGCCCCCTTTTACCTGCAAGACCTGAGCTTCCTTAGTGTTGTCTCCTCCAGAGTTGGTTGTAAGTCAGCTCCCGTCCGCTCCTGGATGCTTCTCCTTAACCTCATCTCATTAATTCTTCTCTTTCTATCCTGCTCTATTTCCTGCTGTTCCCTATCTTTTAAAATCCCTTTTTTACACCTGTAAAACATCCAAATATTAACAGTGTAATATATCTTGTACTCTGTGATTTCTGTGTCTTTAATTATGTATCAAGTAAATGCATAGTGTTGTGCTGTTGTGACGATTGCAATTTAATTATTACGATAAAATGCTTACTGTGTTTGAAATTCAGAATATAAAATCATTTTTCAACAAAACTATGTTTGTTATGCTGTTCCAAATTGCTGAGACTTTTATATGCTATAAGATAAATATAATATTGACACAACTTTTTAGTTATATCATTTTAGAGGCCTAAAAAAATTAAATCTCCAAAAATGTGTCACAGTCTTAATTACTTCACAGTTTCAGTTCTCAAGTCTGTAGCTTTAGTAGAAGATGCTGGCAGAGAGTCCAGGGAATTTGATAAGTAGCCTGAAATTAGAATGCATATACGCTGTATATAGCTAAATCTTCAATTTTTTTTATTGATTAGAAAATAAGAATGTCCATAGTTCTCATTTCCTGAACTGCTTAACTTTTAACAAAAGTATGGGTTACTTGAAAGCTATATAAATAGTACATTTTTACATATTACAGATAACAGGTGTACAAGTAAACTCTCTTTTTAACATGACTTACCTAGACTTTTCCTGGGTGTTGTTCTGGGTGTCATGTATGGCCATCTGTTTTCTTTGAGAACCTCTTCATCTCTCTTCATGTCCTCCAGGATTCTCTCCCTTTTTGTTGTACTTGCTGTGCTCAGTTTGAATGGTTTCACCACTGTCCCTTCTCTCTCCTGCTTTCTTCTCAGCAGCTCCTTCTGAAAATGTCTGTAAAGCTCCTCATAATCGGGAACCTCGTGTTTCACTTTGCTTGCTGATGCGCTTTTTCTTTTGCTTTTTATCTTCTTTTCTTTAGCCTTCATGTCTTTAATCTTTTGTCTCATTTCCATGTTCTCTGGCATTTGGGACTTGCGGTACATCTCTTCTGCTCTAAGTTTGATTCTAATTTTGCGGTATTCCTCCTCTTCTTTCAACTGATCATCAATAGAAGAGTCATATAAATATCCTGGAACAGGTCTGGCTTTGAATGTGTGGACATCTCTCTCTACAGGTTCAGATGAAGTTCTAACATGCTTTTCATCCTCCCTTTCTCTTGTGTGGAACTTGAAAGGTTTTTCTTGAGATTTGAGAAGTTCTTGACTGTACTGCTTGATGTATCTTTTTCTTGCCTCATTCTTCTCATTAATTTCATCATAAAGAGGAATATACACGTGAGCAGGAACAGGCTGTGCTTTGAACTTCTTTTGACATTCAAGGTCTTCTTTGACTTTTTCCTCTATGAGCTTTTGTTCATGCTCTAGTTGGAGTTTGCTTTTTGTTTTCTCCTTGCTGGCTTCCCTAAGGGTCATTTTAAAAGGCTTTGGAATAGTTATTCGATGTCTCCACTCTTTTTCCTTTTCCTTTTCTCTTCGTGTGACAGATGCTGATGATGGTCTTTCTTTTACTTGCCTAGGAGCATAGTCCTCCACTGAAAAATTTTCCCACATGTCCTCAATACGCGTCATTGCTGCTGCTAACTCTGGTTCATCTGACGATCTCACTATATCATCGGATGTCCTCAAAAGTCTCTCAGTGTTAAGTTCATCGTCAGAATCAGCTCTCTCACGTTGCTGACCTCTCTCTGACGCTATTTTTGCCCAGACTTCTTCTTCTAAGCTTTTTGTAAGAGACCCCCTCCTTCTATACACTGGTGCGGAGCTTGGTCGAGGTAGAGGCATCGTACTGAAACCTGCCTTTTTTGACATTGGAGAAGTATGGAACTGCTGGCGTCCAGTTGGTGGTTTACTAGCTGTGGTCTGTATAACATCCCTTTCAATGTACCTATCCCTTGCATTTTCATCTTCATGTCTCCCATCTAAATACACATTTGATGATATTGGCTCGTCATCAAGTGGTAAACCATTGGACTGTGGTTTGTCACTCGAAATTTTTTTCTTGTAGAGTTGCTCGCATAAATATAAAGTCTTTTTATGCTCATTTTTCAATTTCAACAATTTTTGATAAAATTCGTTGTCATCAAGATCCTGAAGTTGTGATGAAATTTCATCAATCGCGGGATTAGTGTAAACATGAACAGACCTACCGAAGTCATCATGACCATCTTGATTTTTGCTGTTTGCATTAAAGTCTGTGTCTGAATTTTGTAATACAAACGTGTGATATGCATTTGCTCTCTCATGCCATGTTGAAGAGAGACCGGTTTTTGGATTTCTTGGTGGTTTTATGCATGAATGTGCTAAAACTGTCAAACCGTGGGTTGTTGCCATGTTCTCACCAAACTATGCAAGGTGCGCAGCAGAAAATAGAAAACACGCATTGTAATTGGTCAATTTTATTTTTTAATTTTATCATTGTAGTAAAAATATCTTTAGATAACTTTTAATGGTATGCTTTTAGAAAATAAAATTTTAATTTTAAATGCGTATTATTGATAGTTTGATATTTCAAGACCACATCAAAGGTTCGGGCTGGGTAAGGGAGATAACTCTAATTTGACAGACGCACTGCAAGGCCAGGGTGAGATTGCACTATGTTTAAGCATTGCAAATTATGTAACATAACATCTAGAATTGTGAATACATTGGCATCGAGAAACTTAAACTCTGCGAGCTATGGTACTGACAAGGCAGACATCGTTATATCTGGAGGTGGGATGGTTGGAACAGCAATGGCATGTGCATTAGGTTGGTATACTTATAGCTCAAAGCATCATCATAAACTTTGTTCCCAGTGGAACCTTGATTTGCCAACAAATCTATTTTACTTTTATATTGATAATTAATATGAATACAAAATATTTTCTTCTTAAGTACTTAAATAGTGCTTCAGATTCTGATAGTACTTGTAGATTTTCCAACAAGAGATGACAAAACACTTGACCTCTTCTTTGTCTCCCACTCTTCCCTAGTAGAGAAGTGCAAACCTCTGCCAGCATTGGGCAAAAGTGACCACGACATTGTTATGTTGGACACACTTATTACACCTACCTTGGCCAAACCAGGGCAGAGGAAAATTTTCCTATGGAAGAGAGCCGACACACAAGCAATCCAGGAAAGCTTGAAGAACCTGGCAACCGAATTAGTGATGTATAATGACATCAACGTTTCATGGACCCAGATTAAGAACCACATCACAGACATGATACAGAAGCATGTACCAACCAAACTGAGTAGAAACAGGCATTCCCAGCCGTGGATCAACTCTTCAGTCAAGCGCCTGATCCGAGGTAAACATAAGGCTCACCATAAGGCCAGATCCACCCAAAACCCTGAAGACTGGACTCGGTATCGGCACTTGAAGGCAATAGCACAGAGGGAATTTAGAAGGGCTCATGACAGCTATATTGATGAGATCTTCTGCAGCGACCTCCATAACAATCCAAAAAGATTCTGGTCTTACCTCAAGGGTAAAAGACAGGACTCGCAAGGTACTGCACCCCTCAGAAAGGCTGATGGTTTGCTATACAGCGACAAGGAATCTAAAGCTGAGATACTCAACAACCAATTCCACTCTGTGTATACCAATGAGAACACCAGCAGCATGCCAGACAAGGGTCCTAGCCCCTACCCGGACATGCATCGTATAAGAGTGTCACAAAATGGGGTCTACAAGCTTCTTAAAAACATCAATGTCAACAAAGCCACTGGCCCTGACGAGATACCAGCTAAGCTTCTACATGACCACGCTGATCAACTTGCACCAATATTAACATCCATTTTCCAATCTTCTGTAGACACAGGAAGGATTCCAGATGACTGGCGATGGGCAAGTATCGTTCCAATTTTCAAGAAAGGGGACAAACATTTAGCTTCGAACTATCGACCTGTATCTTTAACATCTATCCCTTGTAAACTGCTGGAACACATTATACACAGCCAAGTCATGGACCATCTAGATGAGAATTCCATCCTCTCAAACAGTCAACATGGATTCCGCTCTAAGCGTTCCTGTGAAACTTAGTTGGTGTCCACCATAAACAGTATAGCCCAGAACCTTGGAGAAAAAGGCCAAGTAGACATCATCCTGCTTGACTTTTCTAAAGCCTTCGATAAGGTCCCCCACCAGCGGCTAGCTCATAAGTTAAACTACTACGGAGTACGAGGCACCACTCTCCAATGGATTAGAGACTTCCTAACAGACAGGACACAGCAAGTACTTCTAGAGGGCCATACTTCCTCAACAGCACCAGTGGTGTCAGGAGTGCCACAAGGGACAGTCCTAGGACCCCTACTGTTCCTCCTCTATATTAACGACCTACCTGAAAGGACACTGTCAGATACTCGCCTTTTCGCAGATGACTGTCTCCTTTGCAGACCTATCACAAATAAGGATGATGCAGTCACCTTGCAAAAGGAAACTCTCTGACCAGCTGGGAGGAGGACTTGGCATTCCACCCAGAAAAATGTGTTGTTATTCAAGTTACCAGAAAGCGGAAACCGATCACCGCTACTTATTCTATACATGGGCACCTCCTAGATGTGGTTGATTCCAGTAAATACCTTGGAGTCACCATTAGTAAAGACCTACGATGGGACAACCACATTAGTAACATCACATCAAAAGCCAACAAGACACTGGGCTTTATCAGGAGGAATATGAGGGGATGTCGGACATCTGCAAGATCCGCAGCATACCAGGGATTAGTACGACCGATTCTAGAATATGCCTGTGCAGCATGGGATCCCTGGAACTCCAAGCAAGTCCATCAGCTGGAGAAAGTGCAAAGACGAGCAGCACGTTTTGCCACCAAAAACTACCATGATAACCACCCCGGGAGTGTTACCCAGATGTTACAAGATCTACACTGGGAACCATTACAAACAAGAAGAATGAAGATAAGACTCGTTTTGTTATACAAGATTGAGCATGCTTTGGTGGCCATCCCTGCAGATATGTACCTGACACCCAGTGACAGAAGGACCAGAGGCAGCTACACGTTCCGTCTACCACACACCCGGATCGACGCACATCGATATTCCTTTTTTCCGAGGACAATTCTAGACTGGAACAATTTACCATCTGTAGTTGCCTCAGCACCAACACTAGAGTCCTTCCGGACACAGCTGGACTCATACACACAGAGCCAGCTGCCCATCAACACCAACTAAGTGTGCCAGTTTTTAACCTTTTATTGTACATAGTGCCCTGATCGGGTTTTTAGCCTTGTCCGTCGCGTGTGACAGTCCGAGTTCAACGCTCTTGTAAGAGTAAACTCGTATGGGAAGAAGAAGAAGAGTACTTAGAGATAAAAATTAAAACTGTTTTGTGTAGTTCAGTAGGAAATGGAATTTATTTCAACAGTGGGCCATTTTTTTTAATATTAAGAATGCAAGTGAAATTTGTATCTGCACTTCATGGTAACCAGTTCTGACTTTAATACGACGGAGAAAGAGGTGCTGTGGGTGTTATTGACATATCCTGTTGAGGACGGTCTTGAATGCCTCAATTAATGGATATATTCATTTATTGAGCACACTGTGTTGTTGTCAAGATGGTTCCATTTAATCACAGTATCTATGAAAAATGAGGGCTTTTTATTGCTTTGTTTTGGTTGATGTTACATGTACTTCAAAGCTCTGGTTCTTCTTCTTCTTCCTGTCCAGTGCTGACCTCGATATCGAGTGTAATAGCACGTCGAACACAGCTAAAAGCCTCTTATTTACAGTTAAAAGTCGGTTAAAAAACAATGTTCTGCATGTCACTTAAGGGTGATAGGAAGCAGCTATGGTGTTGGTTAGCTGCTTCTTGAAGCCGTCGATGGTACTGGCTTCTTTAACATGATGTGTTGTTTTTCACTAATTGTTTTGATATGATGTTGTCCAAGATGCAGTTTCCATGCAGTTTCTGGATTTTAATAAATAACTGGAATGTGGAACAGTTTGTTCCATAAGACCATTTACAAAAGAAGTATTAGATCAGGCTTTTAAAAAAGGCTGGCATTATGATCATAATTTTCTTGTATCTGCCAATTATTTTTTTGTATCAGTTTAGGATATCTATCTTCTTTTTAAGGACATGCTGATTACCTACAGGACAAGAAAATAATCCTTCTGGAGTCAGCTCCTGAAAAGAAAAATTTCAAGCTGAGTGAACGATTTAGTAACAGGACTTGTGCTATTAGTCCAGCAACAGTCAGCTTATTTCAGAGTATGTATAAAAAAAACAAAGCTATAAATTGTATTTCAATTAAGCATGACTCTATTTCTTAATTCTTTTCTATAATGATTTGTTTTCAAATAGGTACAGGAGTATGGGATGAAATCCTGCAGATGAGATGTCAGTCTGTCAAGAGGATGCAGGTTAGATTTTAATTTATAGCTCTGCTGTTTGAAGACCATAAGAAAGAATGCTATGAAATTATACATCATACGTCTGTTTTACTGAATACAGTTTTCAGCTCTACTGGTCAGAGACAGAAGAACTTATGCAGTAGTTATGTGTCTGTCATCATCAATTTGTGTCTGTCTGGCTGTTTGTCCATCTGCCTGTAAAACATTTTTTGGTACTTCTCCTACAGTTTTGATATGACTTTAAATTATAACTGGGCACACAAAGAGAATACACTAAAATACATATTACATGCATATAATCAGTAAAGCAACAGTCTTGACAGAGACTTCTGTTTTTTGAAAAACACTACCGGTACTAAATATTTTATGCAAATTTCATAAAAACATGGTATGTACATGATGTAAGTGGACTATTACCATAATATTCGATTTCAACGGACTTTGTGACCATAGTTGTGAAAAAGAAAAAAATCATGAATTTGTTTCTCACCTTTTATTCTCCAAGATTTTTTGTCCAAGTCTCAATGTCCCATATGCAACATTCTCTTGGTTTTTAATTTCAATGTAGACATTTTCATGAATTTTTAAAAGTCTTTAAAAAACTATCTATAGTAAGGTTCTTATGAGTTTATTCCTTTTTTTTTTGAAAAATAAAAAATCTTTTTAAACAGCTTTAATCCTTGTATAAGTATTTTAGAATCATTTTTAATATAAAAATATTACAGAAAAAATAAAATGTATGCTTAATACATTTATAATATACATACTGGAAGAACAAATAATGTCTACCTACACAGGTGTGGGAGTCGTGTTCCGATTCTCTGATCACCTTTAATGACGAGGAGCTGATGAACGACCTTGCTTACATTGTGGAGAATGATGTGATCTCGGAGGCCATAAGGCGACGACTGTCCGCAATCTCAGACCGCGTGGAGATTCAGTATCAGACATCGGCTAAATCCTACATCATACCGGGGGCCACACCTGGCCACGACGACGTGGATCAAAACACCTGGGTTACCATAGAAACAAACAAAGGACAAAGAATCCAGTCAAAGTTACTGGTGAGTGGCAAGTATCTGGTTTAGTAATGTAAGAAACAGGACAGCCAATGAATTATTCATTATCTTTAATGATGATATACCACATAAGTGGAAAGTTTAGTGAGACTCAAATTTAGCGATTTCTACCTAAGAACTGGTATTTTATTTTTAGCGAGAAGGAATTTTTGCTATTTTGAAATGCTAACTAAAGAAACTATTACAAATAATACGCAATTAATTTTCAGTGATATTCAATTTTAGTGATGTCAGCACCCTCGCTAATAATGCCAAAATTAAATTCTCGCTAAAAATTCTACTTATATGGTATCATACATCTACAATATTTGAAAATCTTGACTTTCCATGAATATCTGGGCCTAAAAGAAGACTTGTATTAAATAATTTTTGTCAATAATTTATCACATTTTCTAAGTTTTCTTTTTAAACAAAACATTCAAGATATTGGAGAGATAGAGAGAGAGAGAATTTTGAAGAACATTCCAGTGCCCCTTAAAGTTTAAAATAATGTCAACTGTTTTCCTAGTAACCATTTAAAATGATCCTATTACATTTATTAATAAGAGGTATTACTACAAAAGAGAAATCTCCCTGGACTTATTCTTTTTTAGATAGGAGCAGATGGCATGAACTCTGCAGTTAGAAAAGCTGGAAAATTCCATGTGTTTCATCATGACTACAAACAACAGGCTCTGGTGGCCACCCTGGAAGTCTCAGGGGTAAGGAAAATGTGAAAAGCCTAATATAAATGATACTTAAAGTGGCAATACGGCTGCAAATCATTTGCTTTTTCATTCAAATTTACCCAATATATCATTCAGGAATAAGGTAAAAAGTTGAAGTAAGCATTTTGAAAAAAATAAAAATTCCAATACAATTTGCACTTTAAATGGCAATAATTTTTATATGCCATAAGTGCATTTTTATGTTGAGTTTACACTGATTTTTTTTTCTTTGAAAGCCATGGAGATACATGTATGAGAAATGATAGCATGTATCAACAAACCTGTAGGGTAGAACCTTCGCGAGCCCCGCGTGAATGTCGCCGATATCCCGTTTCTTCTTCATCCAATGATTATATTAATCTCCCAGCTAAATTTTTGTCAGGAAAGTTGCTTTTTAATTTCAAGCCCTATTTTTTTGTTTTGTCTTTCGTTTTTGGTCGACTTTGTCAATGTAGCAGGCCTACCGGTGTAGCATAATATTTTGATGCCGCGATATATTGAACCTGGGTTCAATATATTGCATAATATTTTGAACCCGGGTTCACTTTTTCGCTGCGATATATTGAACCCCTTTATAAAATATTGAACCTCTACCCTTTTCATTGAAGAGGGAGGGGGGTTCAAAATATTATGACCATAATATATTGAGTCCCTTTGCCAATTTACTTTTAAAGGGAGGGGGTGCAATATATTATGGCCATAAAATATCGAGTCCCCCTGCCCTATTAATTTATTAAGGAGGGGGTTCATAATATTATGGCCATAAAATATCGAGTCCCCTACCTATTCAATTTAAGGGGGTTCTAAATATTATGGCCATAAAATATTGAGTCCCCCTGCCCTATTTATTTATCAAGGAGGGGGTTCAAAATATGACCATAAAATATTGAGTCCCCCTTCCCTTCTAATTTTATGGAGAGGGGGGTTCTAAATATTATGGCCATAAAATATTGACCCCCCCTGTCAGAATTATTTATGAAATTTGTAATTTTCTGAAAGTGTATACATTTATGAGTATGAAAAAAATTCCAAATCCTATAGGAAAATTTTAACAAGTCTGTTTTTGAAGAGATGCGCCATATTGTCACTTTAACTGTGACCAACTTTTCAATGAATTAAAATATTGTGATTTTCTGAAAGTACTTTTCAATTGTTTCCTATTTTTTGTTTGCAGACATCAGACAACAATGTTGCTTGGCAGAGGTTTCTTCCCACAGGACCAATAGCTATGTTACCAGTAAGTTGTCTTTACAGTTTCAGGTTATATAATTATTTATAAAGCAATCTACAAAAAGGAACTTTCAGTTTTCACCATTAAATCCTTCCAGTATTTTTTGATACACAAACATACCAGAAAATATAGAGGCAGTGTAGAAATATTGTGTATGTAGCAAAAAATGTGACAATGTAGTAAATACATATGTATGTTATATTTTTGCCCTTTGGCTTTCCCATCTGGAAATGGATTTGCTCCTTTAAATTAGCTTCAGAAGTGATTTATACTAACACTCAAGATGTTTTTCGTATTACTTTTTCCCTGCCAAAAGCATGATTTACATTAATTAATAACTTCATGAATATAATTTTTGAACGTTACCTTGTTACTTTATTTCACTGTCAGACAGTCCTTTGTAGCCTTCGAATGTCATTTTCTAAAAATTCCCATTCTGACATACAAATTTTGGGTCTTCATAAAAAATATGCTGAGGAAATTAATTTATACATGTATATCTAAGTTTCACTCTGATTAAAATCAGATCCTTTGATCCGCTCACATAGATCGCTACACCTTGTGTAGCGATCTATGTGAGCAGATCAAAGGATCTGATTTTAATCAGATTGATCTAAGTTTCTTTTTAATTTGAAACATATCTTCTTTTATAGATGATATAGTATAGTTGATAACTAAATCCCCCTCCTATTTCCCCTCCTTGGTTGTTAAATTCTTTGACAAGTATATTTTATCTTTGCCCTAACATTGTTTGTGTTAAAAGAGAGACAACTCTTTATTAGTTCAATTAACTCTCCCAAAATAAAAATTAAGACAAAAACATCCCCATATTCTACCCAAGGCATTTTCATGGATTTATATAACTCTCAGGAATTTTGATGGCTTAAGTTAAAAATGTCTCTCTACTCATAGAGAACAAAGATACGTGTATAAGATTTCACAAGAGCACATACAAGTTTATTATAAATTGTAGGCTTGTTGTACATGTATTTCAGTTATCCAACAATTACAGCTGTTTGATTTGGACAACAACTCCAGGAAAAGCAAAATATCTGAAGGACTTAGAAGACGACAGTTTTGTTGATGCTGTTAATGATGCGTTTGTAAGTTTTTTATTGGAAAAATAATATGTGGAAATGTAAATTGCATTTTATTTCTAAAAACTTGTATTCTTAGTAGTGGTGTAATTTAATACATTTGATTGAAAAGTTCAAACTGTAAAAAAAAAAAATGTTTGTGCCATTAGTGAAGGCAATTTGTTCTTTTTTTTTTAGTGGCATGAAAGAGATAAGAATTCAACAGTAATGTCCATTTCACACAGATACCAAGAATTTCTGAACAGTATTTTTACTGGTAAGCTTAAACTTTCAATGCACAATACTAATATATCTGTAAAAAGAATCTTGTAATCGAAGACAACAGAAATTTAGATACACTGGATGAAAAGTTTTTCCCGTATTTTTCTGTAGATAACCAGGTGATACGTCAATTACCTCCTACAGTGGTGGGGGTGGATCCAGGAAGTCGCGCTTCATTTCCCCTGTCTCTCACCCATGCCTCAAACTATGTAAAGCCACGTGTTGCCTTAATTGGGTAAGTTATACTTTCCAGTTTTATTCTTTTGTTACAATCATAATAGAATGTCTGATTCTGAATTAAAATTTACATAAACATTGCCTTACAAATTCTTACATGCTTAACCTTTTCTCTGAAGTTAATTTCAATTATGTCCTATATTTTTATGCACCGAGAGTGTGGTTCAAAGCATTTATGTCTGAACACATTAATATTTGAAATAAGCTTTTTTTATGATTCAATATCTATATTTTTGAAAGTAAAGGAGAGTCTATCAAAACTCTAAATTCATAATGAAGAATAAGAAGGCTTTAACTTGTTATTGAAAATTTCACTTGATGATTCACACTAAAGTTAAATATTTCCTCCCCCAGTGATGCAGCACACAGACTCCACCCGCTGGCTGGCCAGGGTGTGAACCTGGGATTTGGGGATGTCAGTTGTTTGTGTAGGCTGGTGGCAGAGGCGGTCCAATCAGGATCAGATGTAGGCAGTCTGTATTACCTCACAAAGTACGAAACTGAACGCCAGAGGGCAGTGTTACCCGTCGTCACGACGATACATGGTTTACATTATCTGTATTCTACAGACTTATCTCCCGTGGTGCTAATACGCAGTCTAGGATTACAGTCAACTAATGCTCTACAGTTTGTTAAGGTAATGTATTATTCATTATGTGTTTAGTTCTTGTTTATTGTCACATTTAAGCCATTTTTTTTTTTTGTAATTTGATATTTTTCATATGAAGTCCCTCCTTATAATTTACTCCTTGTTTTCTTTGCAGAACAAAATAATTCAGCAGGCATCAGCATAAAGATTACAGACCAACAGTCTCTCTAGACTTTAATAACAAACCAAAAAATGACATAGCACTTCTAATTTATAATTAATATTACAATTATGCTGCTAAGCTTAAAAATGTACTTTGAAGCAATAATAAATTATAAAATTTCATATTGCTTAAAGATCCTCCAGTGTAGCTCTTGTAATGACGTTGTACAAAGATAAAAATACTGATTTGTACCGGTATGTTTTGTGTTAAAATGCATATACATGTTACTGAATTGACTGGGCTACCGTATTACAACAGTGAATTGACAAAATATGGCACTAATAAGATGTCTCCAATAATGCACACTTTTTGTGAAAATGACACGTTGCTTTGTACTGGTATTGACTGCAGGAATGAGCATCTGCCTGAAAAAAAAAATGCTTATTAAAAACAAACTGTCCAACTGGTGGAGTATTTAAGTAGGAATTTTTACATTGTTGTCCAAAATGAAAATGTAGCTGATGATGTATCAATTTTTTTCCCCTTGTAATCTAGATAATATTCAAAGTTATTGAATTATTTTACATATTGGCCATTTTCAGCAGATTTGCGATATGTTACAAAGAAAACAAACCTTGACTAGCAAATCTAGTGTAGCACTTTCTTTATAGTGGTGCAATGAATTGATTGGCATTCAACAATTCTAAGTATCTGAAATGAAATTTTAAAAAGGCAATATTTAAATGCATCTTTACTCTTAAAATTTAAAAGAATAGTGATTTGTGACAACTGTATGAAATGAAACAAGTGGCATCATTCATTACTACAGGCATCTTCGCTAGCCAAGGGTTTCTGATACTCTTCTCTCCTCATAAACCCTTGGCCTATGGTGAAGTCAAAAGACGGGATTGTTTTCCATTACTTGATCTCGAATCTATCAGGTACGCACAGATTGCGTCATCGCCAGAAATAAAGACACGTGTTAAAAAAAAATAAAATCAAAGTTTTTTCAAGAATAATCAAGAAGTAGTAATTGAGTTATGTTTATTCATTATTTATAGAACAAATCTGTAGCTTCAATATAGATTCTTAATCACATATTTAGAAGATATTGGATGACACCATGGCTATTCATAGAATTGAATGTTATCTTAAGGATCGTTGTTTACTTGCGTTTTTCATTTCCGAGATTAAAGAGTGAAGATGTATCCCGAACGCAAATATCGTCATTTACAAAAACAATTGCTGATTTGTCGACCTGGGTGTACTGAAATCCAATCAGAACTCTGGAAAAAAATCCCGATTTCTATGAACACCGTAGGCCAAGGGTTTATGAGGAGAGTAGCTTATCAGAAACCCTTGGCTAGCGAAGATGTACTACAGGTATTAATGGGATTGTGAATACCACAAGATTTGTGGTCATTTGACAAGCCTTTTGCCAAGTCCTTGACTGAATCTTGGCATTTAGTTTAGAATGATTATTTTTCAGGCATAATTTTATCTTAATTAATGTCATATCATCAACATTAAAAAAATCTTATTTTGAATCTGAATATAACATCATAGAAAGAGTACACAAAATAGTTTAAAATTATTTTTGAACTTGGACATTGCCTCTTGATTTTATAATCAGGATTAAAAGAAAATCCTTTAACATTTGAAAATTAGTTTCAGTTGTTTCAATAAATGCCTTTATATGTAGAGTCTACTTGAATGAATATTTGGAGGGGCAGGCTAAGATACAAATCAGTGTACCTAACAACTCTCAAGCACTTTTTGTATCAATAGAGTCATAAGAGCGAGGCAAACTCGCTACACTGACTATGGATGCTCAATTTGAAAGAGAAAAAAAAGTCCTTATTTAGTATAATACTGAAACATCAAGGTAGTAGTTTGTTTCAAGCTCTGTAAATCAAATAAAGCTTCTGCTGATGCTTACCGAGGATTGTACTGCTCCACCCTGCCCCGTAATATACTGGGTCCTAGGAAGCCACTCAGCTGATTAAGACACTGGCTAGCTGCACTGGCTGTAAGAGCATTGTCACAGGTCTGAAGGAGGAAAAATATTACACCATATATCAAAGAACTTGTGACAATATAAGATGTACAGTATACATGTTCAAGTACATATTCTGATAGTTTTGTATTCCCATTTACTACAACTTTAATATAAATATTGTGACCACTGTTGAAATATTTGTGGGGATCAATGTTTGTTTTTTACTTGTTTGTGAGGATGTAAATTTGTCAATTACTAGTTCATGCTGTAGATTCAATTAATCAATACGTTTACAAAATAAATGTTCATGGAGATCTAAATTCATAGGAAAGGATGACCCTTAAAATCCATGAACATTGAATACCTATGAACAACGAAGATTCCGCAGTATATTTACATATAATGCCCTTCAGGCGTTATAGAATTTGATCACGTGACCTACTTCATGTCATATCCCATTGAAACTCTAAAAATGATATCTTATTTCTTAAGTACTTACTATGCCATAAAATATACAGTCAAAGAACTCTTCCAAGTGTGGTTTAAAGTACCTCTTTCCCAGATTCTTCCCAATGTTTGGCAACTGCAATACAGATTCATACAAGACTTGATATGGAATGAAGTCAAAGAACACTATAACACTGATTAAACAGACTACTAGTTAATTGTTCTGCAAAATACCACACTGTCCTTTAATAAAAATTATTAACCCATATAACCCAAGCATTAACACTCCAGTGGCCATTCACTTGTTGGGTGATTACCTGTTTACAGACCGTTTCCAGGTAGTTGACATGCTGGGGGTAGTGATGGAGGGAGGTGGACTTGGCCAGAGAAGGCAGTAGGTCAGACACGGTGGATGTCAGTTCTGGATTACGGGAAAGCTCAGCTATCAAATGTACACACCTACAACAGGAATATTACAGGAACTTTGAAGAATTCTCTGTCTTTTATAAAAAATTTTGCAAAATTTATGAAATGCTATAATTCACAACTTAAGCAAATTAATATGAAACTCAATTAATATAGAGATTCAATTTAATCTTCAAAATTCTTCCAGATTTTTGCATAAAAAATCTTAAAGGAAATATCACACTTTGAGGGAATAATTCTATGTGATTTATTTTTAATCATCAACATTTCTCTACTGATAGAGCTTGTTACCCATCAGCCAGCTCCCAGGGTTCTGGGGGTTTCCTGAATTTGTGGTCCATACATCCTCCTCCCCGGGTGCCCTTCATCATCTTTGGAGCAAGGGAACCACAGGAATACATCTGTCAAGAAAATATCAGAAAATGTTTTCTTTATCGAGAACAAACAATCAAAATGTGCTGCCACCAGTACTTATCAGTAGTTTGTTCTACACAGTAATTCAACATACTTTTGCTGTTGTTAATTCAGATTTTGTGTATACATGTATATATATAAATGCAATCTTGTTTTGGACAGGCATTTCTTTCATGTTTTTAATACATGACCAAAAAAATTATATATAAATGCAATGAATGCAGAACATATAGCATGTAATAGCAAGAAAATGATATGTTAACAGTTTACAAAGCAAGTTTGTTAATCAAGATTTATAAAGTAAAGGTATCCTATACACTTGTGATGTATTAGCATTACTTTAGTATTTTAGAAAAATAGTTACCCAAAAAATGAAAATGTAATAAAAACTTTCAGGGTCGGAGGGTAAAATGTAGGGTAGGTCGGGTGACAGGAAACAAGAGTATTTTTTATTTTGGCCTAAGCATTACCTCTGAGAAATCCTTTCCCCCAAAAATCATAATTTTTTTTTTACCTCAGAAACTTTACTTGATCATAATATTTTATAATTCAAATATTTAAATTTCTTTGTATCATGGATGTAAGACAGGCAGTCAAGATAAATACAATGTGACAAATAACTGATCTCAACCAACAAGACATCAAAATCGAGGGACTCGATTGTACCTGTTTATTTGTATGGAGATCCATGTCATTATCTCGTAGCTTTTTGACCACACTGTAAGTGGCCGGTCCTTTATCTAAGTCACTGTATTTCTCTGAGGTTTCTGGTTGGTTCTTTAATCCCTCTATTCCCTCCTTCACTTTATTGAGAATTTCTTCATGACTTTCTTGACCTAGTTAAATAAAGAGTATTCATGTTAGTAACTTTGATTTTAAAACACAAGGCTTTTATAAATTAGGGTTACCTTTAAAAAAGTTTTTGAAATGGTACCTAGGTATTCAAGTTCTCTAAATATAAGTTACTTTCATAATAATCTAAGATGTGATGTCAAATCCAGAGGGAAGGACTTTTTAAACTACATTTTGTATCTCTGATGAGGTTAGCTCTATTGGTTTGTTTGTATTCATACAATGTACCAAAAATATGGTAGGAAAAGAATTGCAGCTGAAACTAAATTTGAATTTTTTTATCTCATGGAAAGTTCCAAAATAGAGACTGATTTATGAAATTCAATTTTTGCCACACCACAAAATATAGTAGGAGTTCCAATGTTTTAGACATATTTTTAGGGTCCTATTGCATATCTACAATGGCAAGGCCAATCATAATCAATTTGATACTAGTAAACAGTGATGATGAGTGACAGATGGGTATGGCAATTTTTATATGTTCTACAGCATTTAATGCACTATAATTTCATGGACAGAAACTAGGAATTTTAAGCCTTTGGAATGTTTGATTAATGTAAAAATTCAAACTTTTCTTACTTCAAATACATTAATTTTAATGATCATAATTTCCTTTACCATAGACTTGTGCTACATTGGCCAGTGCCAGCGCCGCCCCCTGTCGGACTGAGGGGATGCTATCCTGTAGATTATTGTAAAATAACGGGTACAGCTCAGGCATAGAACTCCTGTCAGAAACAAAAAGCTCTAAATATTATCTTACCTTCAGCATATCTAATGAAGATACACTGTATATCGATTCAAAGCTTCAACATTACATTACTAATAAGATGAACAAACATATGCATGAAGTTTGTATGTACCAGTACAATTATTTAAGGAATGAAGCTTATTTCAACTTATGTTATACGATATAACATAACTTGGGGCAGTTTACGCTTTCTTATAAACCGCTTTGCAGTTTAGAAAGCATAAACTGCCCCAAGTTATGTTATATCTTATAACATACATGTAAGTTGAAATAAGCTTCATTCCTTATAATTTAATTTCAATGTAGACAATCAGACAATTTTTCCATTTTTTCCTTCAGAAAAAGGCTTCAAATATAGCAAATCTTAA